AAACGTTTTTATTCGCTTGAAAATAGATAAAAATGAAATAATTTTTTGCCTAAACAACAATTAAGATTTTTACTTACAAATGGCAAAAAACACCATTTTTTATCTAATTAGATTTTTTGACTCATTTGAGTGAAATTTTACTCGTTTTCAACCCCTAATTTAGCGATTTTAGCAAAATTTTATGAAAAAAATCTCGAAAACCTTTTTATTCGCTTGAAAATAGATGAAAATGAAATAATTTTTTGCCTAATTAATTTTTGGGAATGTTTTGATAAAAAACAATTACGATTTTTACTCACAAATGGCAAAAAACACCATTTTTATTTAATCAGAAGATCTCACAACTTGCTTGAGCAAAATGTGGCCACAAAAAGTGCATTTTTAACTGAAAAAGTCAAAAATAATGTTATTTGGTAATTTCTTTCCTATAATTTTGCAAAAAAAAAACAGTTTTTAACACAAAAACGTGTCAAACGCTTTAAAAGGTGCACTAACTTGGTAGTTTTTGGTAGTGAATGAAATTTTTTGAAAAAAAGTAGGTTTTTAGGTCACCAAACTAAATCCAGTAAAATAGACCAAAATAGAGCGATAATTTGAATCTACTTTAGTGATTTCGTGGCCTATTTTAGCAACATTTTGCGAAAAAAAGAAGTTTTTAGTTTAAAAATATATTTAATTGCAAAAATTTTGCAAAAAAAATTCATTTCTGGCTGAAGAACTTTCTTAAATGCCTGAGAAAGTGAAAAATATATTTTCGATTTAATTTCGTGATTTTATCTTGTCTCGATAAAGTCTTATTCAAAATTTGAGTTTTTATCTTAAAAACATACTAAAATGTTTAAAAAAGCAAAAATAGTATGATTTTCGACCAAACTTGACCATTTTTTTCGGTAAAAAAACCACAAAAAAATTTAAAAAAAATAATCAAATAATTACTTTGGCGTCAATAAATAATAATTGGTATAGTAGTGCTAAGAGTAGTATGCACCAAAGTCAAAAATTTGGATACACTTTATACATCGACTTGGTAAAGTCCATTATTGACATTTTAATTGTTAAAAGTTTAAAAAAATTATACAGGGTGTCTCAGCGAGTTGAAAAAGTCCATTAGTGATCTTTAAATAGTAAAATTCTAAAAATATATACCGGTGTTCCGCTTTGTTTGTTACAAATTTGAACAGGTAGAAGAATATTCAATTTTAAGAAAAAAAAAACTATGGAATTTAGAATTTTGTTGTTGAAAGTGGCAAGAAATTTCAGCCAAAACAGTTAGAGTACTTTTTATCCTAACCCACATTTTATAAAAAATATACCATTTTCAACTAAATTTGCTAATTTTTTGGCTCATTTGGGTGAAAAAAACGAAAACAATATCGTTTTCGACCCCTAATTTAGCAATTTTAGCAAAATAATGTAAAAAAATCAGTTTTGGCTCGAAAACGTTTTTATTCGCTTGAAAATAGATAAAAATGAAATAATTTTTTGCCTAAACAACAATTAAGATTTTTACTTACAAATGGCAAAAAACACCA